GTTTTCTTAACGCTGACAGTGAGGGGCTTTGGTAGGGTACACCCTTGTCCTCATCTTGCCCCACTGGGATGCTTATGAGGATGCAGGGAATCCTGACTGTGTAGTAGAGGTGCCTGTTCCTTGGCATTTCCTCACTATTTCAATTGGTTATATCCTCACTAATTGTGGTCTGACCTTAGGCAGCATCTGTAGCACCAGTCTTTGCATGACATTTTATACTTGGTGGGTTCAACTCACTTTGGTTTCCCATCTGTGAGTCTCATTTATTCTTTGGAGAGACTCACTGGTGGAATTAAACAGATGAAGTAGAACCAGGCCCCCAAGGTTAGAGTAAATGCCCTTCATACACTTGTACAGTGGTATAGCTATAAAATCCTAGTGTGAAACTCACACTAGATAGCTGTTATAATAATAAAACCTTAGACTAATGATGCATCAAGTTGTATACATAACAAAGACAGGAAAATGCCGAACAGAAAGGGTAGAACCTTCCAAACTCGGGTCCTATCCCTTTAATTCAAGGTTGCCAGTTCTCTGTGATGTCAAAGGCTTGGTATTATTCTTTAGACTTTGGCTTTTCAATAGATGTTGGCCCTTCCTGGATATATTCTAAATAATTGACTGTATACATTCTAAGTTACTAGGCATTTCAGACTCTCAACTCCCCCAAATACCTAAATGTGACAACCAAGAAATATAGGTATCAAACTCATTCCATTATGAACAAATTGATAAATGTCTTTTCTAATATTCTAGGAAGGGAAAGAAAAAAAAACCCACACAAGCTTTTGTGGTCTCAATCTAAGTTTGGAAACACAATAGACATGAGTACTTCATATCATTCTGCATTTGTCAATGGCCCAGAATTCTTTGTCAAGACTAACATAAATAAAGAAAAATATACTATGTGGAAAGAGGAGGCAAGACAAATAAATAATATACTTACTCTAAGAGGCTTTGGGGTGTAATATAGTATCTTGTCTTTTTCCTTCACAAATACTAGCCAGACATTATTAAATGCCTCATCTTTAAGTGGGCAAAACCATAAGGTATACAAAATCTGTCAAACCCAGAGTCTAGACATATTTCCTCTAATAAGTTAGAAAATTCTTAAGTAATCAAACTTCAATTCACCAGTATTTTGTTAAATCAAGGAGTATTAAACCAAAAGACTTGTTTTTGGTAGTAGTGATATTTGAACTCAGGGCCAGGCAGGCACTTGTCAGTCACTTGCTTTACCACTTCAACCATGCCTCCAGCCCATTTGGCTTGTTAATTTTCAAATAGGGTCTCACATTTATGCTTGGGCCTGCCTGGATCCTGATCGTACTATTTATACTTCCTGCATAGCTGGGTTGAGAGGCATGTACCACCACACCCGGCTGTGGCTTGAGAAGAGGGTCTTGCAAACTTTTTGCCCAGGCAGGTCTTCAACTGTATGCCTCCAAACCTCTGCTTCCCAAGTATTTATGATTATAGCAGTGAGCCACTGTACCCAGCCAAAGGATTTTTTTTTAAATACAGCTAGACATGTGGTAGAATCTGTAAGTTCAAAATACCTTTGCACTTGAAAAACATGGGCAGAAATAAGATTGGAAAAGAACTTTCTTAATATTTTAAACAAGTTAAGTCTCTAACCTCTTTCAGTGTGATGGGGACATAACTTTTTGCTAACATGATTGTTAAAAATTTTACAAAAACTTACTAAAGACTAAAAAACTCTTTATTTTTATATTTTATGCCATAATAGATATGATTAAAATGTTAAGTTCCCAAATAGCATTAATAATGCATTTCCTCTTTATCCAAAGCAAATGCATTTTCTCCTAAGAGATGTGTAATCCATCCCCCACTTTTTGGAAGAGAAAAGGATGGGGATGAAAGGATTTACAGTTGGAACTGGCATTTAATGGAAGATACATATTTGACTTGTGATTACAAAAGAATTGCTGTAGTAATTTTGAGTTTAGGCAGTGGTACTGGAATTTGATATGAAGGAAAAGCCAATTATATTTCAGTTAACATTCAATGTTACCTCTTTGCTACAGATCTGTTAGAAGTTACTTTTATTTGGGTGTGAAAATAATGGAGCCCATGTTAAGAAATCTTATCTATTTATATGTGTATAAATATTTGTTCCAGGAAGCACCAGATCTAAATCTGTAGAATAAGTTTCAAGGAACAGCTTACTGGGTCATAAAACTTGGATACACAAGCTTCAGATGCCTCTGCTACCTTATATTCTTCCTCCACTACACCCCTGCCCTATCCATCAAAGAAAGTGCTATGCTAATAGGAACAGTCAGAGTTAATCACCATCACTGAATCACTGGGGTTGATGTAGGAGAAAGCCTTGCTCTTGTGAGGCTTCAGCCTCCTTGTGTTGGCTTGTGGTCCAGTAGCTGATGTAGTTAAGTGGCCCTGGGGGCTGATATGCCTTTGCAGGTACCTCTGCACTGAGAAGATCAGAGGCTGGTAGATGAGCCAAGCATTTTCTTAGGCCTTCTTTCCCTTGGTGTACTTTCTCTAAATGTATCTTTCCTTGCTCCAGGGGGCTAATAATATCTTGAGGGAAGTAAGATTGGGAGGTGAGCACAGGAGAGAGACAAAAGCTACACCCTCACACCTAACTCTTCCAGCTAGGTTAAACTTAGTCCATCAGACTATCTTAGGCGTTTTCTGCCAAAGCTCCAGCAAATCATAAACAGCATACATCTTCCTGTCTTTTCCTTTGATGCATTTCTCTCTCTCTCAGATGCACTTTTAGGAAAAAAGTGGACATGGTAAAAAGGTTAATCAAGACTTCTGGATTAGATGTCGCTTTGATTTAAGTGACTTCTTGGCCAAGGTTCTGTGAATACTCCCTTCTTTTTTACCAGAACAAGGATTTATAGGTACTCTTAGAAAGCCAGCAAAGTAACGATCAGAATTCTGAGTCATGAGTCAGTCAGGAAGCAGTTTCTGGGAAGTTCGTTAATTTTCTCTTTAGGAAAATAGTCAGTGGCTGGGTACCAGTGGTTGACACCTGTAATCCTAGGTACTTGGGAGGCTGAGATCAGAAGGATCATGGTTTGAGGCCAGCCTGGGTAAAAAGCAAGACTAAAATAACAAGAAAAAGGACTAGAGGCATGGCTTGGGAGGTAGAGCCCCTGCCTAGCAAGCACAAAGCTCTGGGTTCAAACCCCAGTACCTCCCTTCCCCCACAACAAAAAAAGATGATAGTAAGCACTGATCAGCTATTATCCACTTTAGTTTCTTAGCCCTCTGGCTGATGTAGTTTTTTACTCAAGCTGTTTTAAATAATTGAGAAGACATTGCCCCTCTGGCTCCTACCTCATGAAAAATGAACAAAAAGTGCTTTTTCCATGGTCAGACTCAATGAAAACAATTTTGAGTTTTACAAAAAATATTAATAATTCTAGTGACTTTTAAACCTAACACATGGAGGAACAAAAGAGAAAAATTCTACAATGAAGTCTCACTTGTGTGCCATGAATGTTTAACCAGTTTATTTATCTAACACATAACTTGAAAAACAACTAAGAAATCCTTTGGCTCTTAAACATGTGTTAGAAGTTAGTATGTAACATTAGAGAACCCTTGAAGGGAAAACATTGATAACAGTCAGGCAGGGGGCTTGCTTAATGTTACATGAAGGGGTAAGGACAGTAGAAAGTTTCTTGCTGTCCCAGCAGAGGAATGCTGAGTACTAGCTAATGCACCAAAACCAAGAGGAATTGATAGAGAACTGACATTCTTGCCCTCAAACACAGGGTACTTCCTTACTGCTGACAAGGAGAAAGCAGAGAACACAGCCTACAGCTGACTGCAATAGTTTTTCTAAACGTGACCAGCACTAAGAATGATGTTTTATAGGATGGAATAGAAGAAATCTCAGCACTGGGCAATGCCATCTAATTATAGAATTCAAATTACTTTAGAATCTTCAAAGCACCAAGCCAAGGATGCACTACATATTCATGCCTCTTTATAAGCCACACTTTCATAATAAATCTAAGCCTTCAGAATAAGAATAAAAATAACTGTATGTAATTCTTATAAGAATAAATAAGAACCATGAACAAAGTTGCTCAGAAACGGGACTGCATTCAAATGGAAAATTCCCCCTTTTACCAGATATATTTACCAACATATTCAACTTAACATAGCAGACACGGCTTTGCTTCTCATTGCTAAAACTTCTGTACTCTAAAATCTTACAGCTGAGATCTAGCTATACTCAATTTGCTTATATAAAATATATAAATATATTATTTTGATAAATCTTTAAATGCATTAATCCTTACCCCTGTTCTTAAGTACAATTGCTTCCACAAGAGGGTTTTCCATAAATTATCTAGTTGATATATTGAATTTCCTTCCTCCTTTAACTTGAAAGCTAAAATGCTTTTCTTTCATTCTCAAAAAATCAAAGCATCAACATATAGAAGTTTTGGGACAGAGATATTTTAAGATATTTCTTCAAAATATTTTGTTGGAAAAACATAGACAACACTTGTTGTAGTATAAGAATTTGAGTCACACCTGCCTAAGGAAAGAAAGTCCCAGAATTTTATAAGAGTTGTCCAATGGAAACAAATGTAGGTTCAGAGAGATGAGAAGAAAGGAGAAATTTTTTATTCTGCATGCATGTTCTGCCACCCTTTGTTCTTCCAGGTATCTCAGTAAAGAAATAGATGCTGCTGTAAAAGTCATCCTGCTAAAAACAGAGGTGATAGGAAGTAAATGAGTGAGAGTTGATATAAATTCAAGTCATTTACAAAGGGTTTTATTATGCTGGATTACAAGATGAATTCTCACATGTTGGCAAGCTTTTCCAAAGTCTAGTTTTTGATTATTGTTGACAAGTTGTGTAGAATGCAGTCTAGGCTCTAAGAAATAGCATGGTTTTTAGTACCAGGTTGGAATTATTTAGGATAACCAAATAATAGGACTTAAAGTTAGTAAAACAGCTAAAAAATCCAACAGTCTGGTCTAACCTGGGATGCTCTGTCTCCTCACAGCCAATGTTCCATCAGGCGGCTTTGTCTGGCTGGCGGATTTAGTGTAGGGACTCTCATCTGCAAAGGTACAATGAAGGGTTTGGTTAATTTCCATCCAGTTTCTTGTACAGTGAAGATTTTTAATGGATTGCAATCCTTCTGCCAGAGAGAGGTGATAGGGTACAGTAGAAAGAGTTGGTAGACCTGAGTCCTAAACCTTAGTGAGCTAAGGTAAGTCTTTGAAAATCTGTTTATTCTCCTAGGAAAGAGGGATAGAATTCTCATTTATCTTTTAGGGTTATCAGGATCAAAAGCTATAATGCATGTGAAGACATTTATATAATGGCAAGAAGTATGCAAATATGGTACACAAATTATTTGCCTGTCACCTACATTCATTGAGAAATAAGTATCAGTGAATATGTATAACAGGAAGACAAAGAAGAAATAAAATGGCTCAGTGGGCATTAAGAATAATCAGGCAGAAGAACAAAGGAGATGAAATGTAATATTTCAGATTAGCAGATGACAGAGCATTAGTATAGCAGAAGAATAAAGACAGAGTTAGTAGGTTTCTCTTGGGAGTGTGAATTAGCATCCAGGGTAATGGTAAGGGATAGGGTCATTCAGAGACAACATCAGAGAAGCCAGTTTGAGAATTTGGCAAAGAAGACATATTGCAATAAGCTGACTGGTGCTCTTTTAGAAGAGATGAAAATAACATGACGAGCAATAACAAGTGCAACTGAAAAGACAGAATGTCTAGAGCTCAGTATACTTGTGAGTTAGACAAGAAGCTAAATGATTAAAATATTAGGTGACAAGATCATAGAGGAAGTGAGTCTGTCAATAGAAAAGTAGAGTCAATTTTTTAGGACTCATCTGACTTGGAATAATGGAATAGTGATTTTGAAAGGCAAATATTAGGGTTAAAATAGCAAGGAATAATTTTTCATAGTTTGGATGGGGACAATTATGTAAAGTAAAAGAGATGTCTGAATAACAACCCGAAATTTCCAAGGACAGTATGTATATGGCTTGAGTAAAAAATAGTGTAAAGTAATTACCTAGCATATTCAGTCAAGCTAGATGACCCAGAGTCATTTCTGGTTGCACTATACATATTATTATTGTTGTTCTTGCTTTAACAGGAAATCATTAAAGTATTTAAAGGAAAAACATTATGCATGGCAAACTATTAAATATAACAAGGATTTAATTCAACAACAAGGCTTTATCATCTGAGAACTGAGAACATTAATTCTACCAACTAAGTGGTGTGTGTTTCAAAATGAGGAACTCAGCTCCTCTCTAGGATGTAATTCTGGTCAAAATAATTTACGATTTCTTCATAAAACAAACAAGGTCTTTATAAGCAGTGACAAAAAGGAAAGATTAGCACTGCTATAAACTGCAATTAACTTTAAAAATGGCAGTCATGCTCTTTCATGTTTATATTCCCGTTGTCATGCAATTCTTTACATTCTTCTAACCATAAAGTAAACTAGCAACTTCTTAAGACCAAAATAATCAACAGCATCATTGTTGCTTTTGAAGCCATATCTGAAGTCTGACTTTTCTTTGCAAACACAATTCTGAATATAATTAAAAGTCATAAAACAAGCATGATACTACAAAAGTCTCCATTTGCCCACCATACCCACCTGAGTATTTGAGTACTCTTTTCACAGTGCTAATTTAGTAAGTAGACAATATGCATTATATAGCACCTATTAAGACAAACTGGCTGTATGTAAAAATCTGACATTCTTCACAGACTGCTTTAAAAATATATTTCTTTTCATTATCTACAACTAGGAAAACATGTATTTATGACTATAGCGCACCAAGCCAGGTGATACAGATCATAACAACCAGGTTCAGAGGTAGCAACTAGGAAGCCTAAGGGTGTTCCTCAGTTTTCAACGTGTCAAGATTACAGTCAATTATATAGTCTGGGGTTGAATCTAGTGTTGAATTATCTTATAAAGGGCAATATAAGATTTACCAAGGAGATATTATGGTTATCTGCACTTGATTCTCTATTTTATGGAGGCATCTCTGTAGAAATTTATCCAATTTGCATTACAGAAGTAGTCAACCCTGGTAAAATGGTCTTCTCATTTATATTTGAAAGGAATTTTCTTGATTTAGAGCTGAGATTGTCTAGTTATGCTGATCCTTAAAAGGATGAAACTGAATTATAGATGGCCACCTGGCCAGCATCTACATCACCATCCTCCAACCCCCACCCCCATCCCAGCATCGAGAGTATCTTTCCCAAGCATAGGAGAAAGTAAATAATTACATGGAAGCCAAAATTTGTATTGGTCAAAGGACCAGACTGAAATAAATTCGATATTATCTAAGAATAGCTTAGCAAAGTCAATCAGGGTGAAAGCTATAATTCCTAATGGAAGTGAGGCAAAAGCTCAGCAACTTTTATCATAAGTGTTAAGGAGAGCATAGCGACAGAGAAGCCTGGCACAATTTAACCCCTGGTTTTTAGGAAACTTTTAGGGAACAAAACTGCTCATCACAGAATAGACTTCAGCTGTCTTGATGTGATTAACTAAAAGTCAATTCTTCATTCAATCTTTGAAACTAGAAATGGAAAAAAGACACTGAATGAGTCAGCAGCCAAAGGCTCCCTAATAGGATACTAAAGGACAAGAATGTTCAAGGTGTATATTTAATCCTTTGCATAAAATCATGGAAACCTTTTAGGGTTTCTATCATGGTCTTATGTGTTTCTTAAGCAGATTTCTAGATATGTTCCTAGAATTTTATATTTATAAGAGATTAAACTACTCTTTCATTTTATGGTTAAAACAGAGCCCAGAGAGATAAGTTTATAGGACACATATTTAAAATGAGTCTACACTGAATTTCTTACTTTCTTATTTCCATGCTCTTTCCTTCTTATCTTATTCCTCATGGGTAGACAAGATATCATAGGATACTGGACCCATATGTTGCTTTATTGTACACGTACATGACTGGACACATCACAAAAGCAGAGACCTTGCTTGGTATAAGTAATTCCTATGAAAATATGTCATTATGGTCAATTCTTTGGGTGTGTATAAATACCACTCTATCTTCCTCTTTATATTTGTTTGCCTAAAGTGAAGAATACTTTAAAATGATACTACAAAAACAATTTATATATTAACTTCACTTTTTTTTTGTTTTGTTTTTTGAGACAGGGTCTGGCTACATTTCTAAGGCTGACCTGGAACTTGGAGTTTAGCCCAGGCTGCCCTCGAACTGACAATCCTCCTATCTCAACCTCCTGAGTGCTTGGATTACAGGCATGTCCAATCAGCCTTCAACTTCACCTTTTCACACATAAAAATTTAAAAGAAATGTCAATATAATTCATTGTCCCCTAGTATGGGCCTAAAAGAGTCATCAGATTCTAAGATATGTATTAATATTTTTTCCTTTTTTGAGGGAGTGACACCAACTAGATTTTCAGATTCCATCCAGATGTATAAATGAATAAAAATAAGTCATAAAAGAAAAGGAATCAACACTTAGACAATATGTGTAGGACAGTTTCTAGCACATAGTAGGCATTCAGTAAATATTTTCTGGTGGATAAATGAATAATTAAGCTTTTCAAACTAAGGCATTTACTATAAACAATTAACCTAAAGTATATCAGCTATACTCCCGCCTCCCTCTCGTTTTCACTTCTAGGCTTATAGGCTATTCTGTTGAAAGTTACATCATCACCGAACAGTTATTATGTATTGACTTACTGTATGTTAAAAATTTGTGAGTCTTTATAAAACTGATACCAAAACATATTTTCTTTCATTTTCTCCAGACTTTAGAAGGATTTATCAACCTTTAAAATAATTCCTTTAAACAAAAGAGTTCTGGTTAGCCAGACTGTAAGCCTTGACTTTGATAATAGAGCATATTAACAAGGGACACTTACCAAATAGGGCTCCTCACTATTGGTTACTGAAATGAAGGCTGTGAGTGACCATGAAAGCATCTCAGAGCATCAGAACCGCCAGCCTTTCCTAATGACATCTCAGCAGCTGGATAATCACTGTTTATGCATGATGGCTTCCCACGGTCATAAGGGTTTGAATACCGGTAATAGCAAGGAATCGCATCGGTCCTTTAATGGAGACATCCCATGTGGCCGGGGAATATGCCCTGTATTAACAGGGAGTATTGACAATGGGATAGGGGCTGAATTCAAGCACAAACTTAAAATAGAAGAAGAAGAATGGGGGAGGTTGAGCCACCTGTCCCTCTCATTTACCTCAATTTGGTCAGTGTCCTTATGTGCCAAACACAGTAGAGGCAAACACAGGTCATTTATTTGATTACATATTCCAGGTGAAGCTGATGTCTATAAACTTGGAAAGTAAGAGTGAAGGTTTGACTCTATCACCGACAATGCCCATCCTGGAGATGCGAGAATCATACTGGGAGGAAGGGATTTGGGGTGCCTCATGTTCTCGTATCCTTCACAAGTTGCCTGGCATCAAATAGCATCTGCGTGCAATCAGGATGACTCTTGTCTCTCCACCACCTGCCTTTCCCATTCTCAGGGTGTGGGCTTCCCAGAGGAACCTGACATGACTGTGGTTCAGGAATCTCTGGCTGTGTTTAGGGTTTTGTTGAAGAAAGAAACTTAATTTCCTTTGGCTGAGACTAATCAGCTTATGCTAAACAATTCCTAGCAACTAATTATGCACAATTGAGGCACCTGCTAAGCCAGCAGCTCCCTTAACTTCTTGATTAGAAAAAAAAAAAAGACAATTGGTGCAGCTTAACATTATGACCATCTCCCAGCAGTCAGGAGACAGGCACAATGTGCACGCGCGTCATTATCAACTCAGAAGAAAACTGTTTTCCGTAAAAGAACAGAACGAAATCCATTATGAAGGAAATAATCTGTCCTTGGATTCAATTAACTGCCACAATTTTTAGTGCCTACTATGTGCAAACTCAGAATCAAAGTGGATAAAAGATAATGAAGCTTTAAATGAAATGATGATTGCTGAATTCTTATTGCCTCACAGGTTTGAGAGGGAACATGGTGCTTGGTTCTCCTTGAGGGGGAGAATGAACATGGGCTTGGGGGAGCTGGTGGAGGTGGAACACAAGAAGACAAAGGAAGATCCACCATAATGACCCTATTTAGAATTTTCTATTCAGAAATCAAAAGGCAATTTTCCAAAAAATAAGACTTCAGCTATCATTATAATTTCTCTAAATTTTTTCTGAGTTCTGTCCTATGAACATTTTATCCCAATCCAGCAAGAACATATTGTGGCTATTTCTTTCTCTTGGACTGTCATACTTGGGCTCAGTTTGCTGGTTTACTGGTTTGGTGGCACACTCTAAAATTAAAGCAAGAGTTCCTGAAGGATAGCTGTCAAACGTCTTTGACAACAGAATGTAGTTATATCTGTCTCTTCTTATTAAAATGCTGTATAAAGACAGCCACAGTGCCCCCAAATAATTTAAAGAACTGCATTCTCAAAGATATAGTCTAATATCCTTCTTCAATCCTAAATCATTTGTCATTCCTGATTAAAATAATCCTGGTTTTCTAGGACCAAGCAAAAAGTCACTCTGGGTGTTTTTATAATCTGAAGGTTCTAGGTCCTACACATGCTTCAGCAATATGGCTTTGGCATGCTGAGTCTATAACATGGATTGCTGTCTACAAGTTATCATTAAGAATGAGTTAGTTTCACCTCCTTTGCCAACAATAAAGTAGTCCACAAAGCTGAGTTTAAATCAGAAGGGAGCAGGGGTGATCTAAGCCTGCTGGCAGGAGGCAAGAGGAAGCATGCTGCTCCACGACGGGATCTCTCCTGTTAGGAAATGATTTTTCTCCCTCCTTTCACCTAACTTCTCTCCTCTCTTCTGTGATTTGTTCTGCATCTGCATGACATTAACATCTGTCTGGACTGCAGGTTTCCTTATAGTTTTATAATTCAGACACGGATGGGCTTTATGTTCTTAAAGGGGCCAAGACTTTAAAATATTTAAAAAAAAATCATCCAAACCGAGCACAACTTCATTTTTTTATTGTTTTATTATTCATATGTGCATACAAGGCTTGGATCATTTCTCCCCCCTGCCCCCACCCTCTCCCTTACCACCCACTCCACCCCCTTTCTCTCCCCCCTACCCCCTTAATACCCAGCAGAAACTCTTTTGCCCTTATCTCTAATTTTGTTGTAGAGAGAGTATAAGCAATAATAGGAAGGACCAAGGGTTTTTGCTGGTTGAGATAAGGATAGCTATACAGGGCATTGACTCACATCGATTTCCTGTGCATGTGTGTTACCTTCTAGGTCAATTCTTTTTAATCTAACCTTTTCTGTAGTTCCTGGTCCCCTTTTCCTATTGGCCTCAGTTGCTTTTAAGGTATCTGTTTTAGTTTCTCTGCGTTAAGGGCAACAAATGCTAGCTAATTTTTTAGGTGTCTTACCTATCCTCACCCCTCCCTTGTGTGCTCTCGCTTTTATCATGGAGTATAACTTCATTTTAAAACCAAAGACAGAGCTGATTCTTTACAATGATAGGGTGTCCTCTAAATAATATTAATCATAATCACCCACTTATGGTTTGAATATTAAATGTTCTCCAAAGGCTCATGTATTGGGGTCTTGGTTGCCAGCTAATGGCCTTTTGGGAAGTGACTCTATTCTGAGGGCTCTGTCTAATCAACAGATTAATCCCTTGATGGATTCATAATATGATGGCATGATTGGGAGGAAGTGAAGAGTGGGAAGTGGGGCCTGGCTGAAGGAATTAGGCTACTACTGGGGGATGTCTATGATGGATGTATCTTGTCCCCTGTCCATTCCTCTTTTTTTTGCTCTGCTTCATGTATACCATGAGATGTGTTACTTTGCACCACCACAAATTCCTGCTGCCATGATGTTCTGTCTAAGCCTATGGGGTCAAGCATTGATGTACTGAAACCCCTGACACTGTAAGCCAAAATAACCTCTTCCTCCTTTAAACTTTTCTCTCCCACGTATTTGTCACAGTGATGAAAAGCTAATACACTACCTAAAGAATTAAATATTACTGCTAAAAAGAATGTTAACTATGTAGCTCATGTGGTTGTAGACATGTGTTTTCAGACCTTCTCCATTTCTGCTCTGTCATCTAACTCTTTGCCTCCCAAAATGTGATCCATAGACAAGTTGTATGAGTATCACTTAGAAACTTGTCAAAAATGCAGAACCTAAGGGCCCGTCCACCTATGGAATCAGAGTCTATGTATACCATAATCTCTTGGTGAGTCACACATTGACATTTGGAAAGTCCTGCCTGTTTCTATCAACATAACCAACAGCAAGCAGGTCATATTATCAATTGTATAAGTAGCCAGGATATATATGTACTGATGTCTTACCTCATTGTGTCAGTGGCAACCTACAAAGGAGTTGATAAAAATGCCAGTAGTAACAGTAAACTCCAAAAGGATCAGATCTCAAAGATGGCAATTACCAAATTGCCTATAGAATGATTTCCTCAAATGAAAATGATACTTTGAAATGTTACAGTTTTCAGGGAATCCTGCCATCTCTTAATCCACTTTATATCTTTCAACAGTCCTAAATGGGTGAATTATGGGGATAACTATAACTAAGGTCAGATTACCTGTGACAATTGATTGTGATAATAATATTTTAGTCAATTTAAGCTTTTTGGTGGAGAGAGAAAGTGGATTGAATTACTATTCTTTAGCAAGTAAAGAACAAATGAAAATGAAAAGTTATGTCCTGCCTTATGACAGGGACATGGTGTACAGGAGAGCAGAATCTTCCCATGACACATCTACTTATTGCTTTCTCTTTAGATATAATCCCTTCCTTGCATCTGCACAATTCTCTTGAAACCAGAAAAGTCTCTATATAGACCTTGACCTCTATCTCTGCACATAGAGATAAGGAAGACTGTGGTGGCCCCAGACATCTGGTCAACCTTGTAGAAATAGCCCATAGTAACTATGCTTCTTTGTGATGTCTGTGGGCCTTTTGGAAGAGTAATATCTCTAGCCAGGTTAATTTGTAAATCCTCTCTAAAATTAATGAGCATGAAATTGCACATTTTCTGCCTCTGGCATTGCGATTGCTAATGTGTCTGAACCACAAATAATAACTCCTCTGCTTCTTCTTAATGATTTTTCCAGCAAGGAAAGATGAACCAGAATCATGTAATTGCAGACCTGCTTCATCATCAAAGAATCAACATTTTTAGATGGTTAGACTCTCCCCCCATGAGACCCATTTTCATTACCTTATCAAATCTTACTTTAATACCATAGCATCTTAAATTTAGTACAGCTTCTACATTCTCCCCATGTAGGGAGGAGCACATGTTTAAAGTTTTGGTTTATCTATTAGATTGTACCAACTGACATTCTCAGTATCTCCCACTGTTAAATGCTTGTAGGTTCAAGGAGTTCTTAGCATTAGAATGACAAATATAAAATGAAAAATATAAACAACCCTAGGGTAGCTAGTATGGGCTATTTAAAACCACATTTATATTTTAAATTTAAAAAGTACACTACTCTTCAGGGAAAAAGTACACATTTATATAAGTGTATGTAGGCTGGACCATATCTGAGTGTTTTGGAACGCCATAGAATCAGTGTGTGATTTTATATAATGGCAATTAGAGCTAAGTGTAGAACTAATAGATACAAATAAGACATTTGGAGAAATTAAGGTTTCCTCTATTTTTTGACAAATGTGTATGAAATTAAGAAGTCATTTTGATACACATTGATAACAGTTTACACTGGAGTAAATTTAAAAGTACACAAATTTTCTTGAGATAACTCAAAACAAAATATTAAAAATGTCTTCATGGGAAAGATTGGCAGCATTTTTTAAACATTTCAGTAACAATGATCACCACTTAAAAATTTGATTATTGAAATGGTTTTATCTCTTGATTACTTAAATCACATTTTCTTTACCCTTTGGGACTTTTTGCATTTGTAATGTAAATTGTAGACAAAATCATGAAAGTTTATATTAAATCTGTTGTTCCAAGAGTCCTTCTTTTCTATGGAATTACTGCAAAGTTTCTATATTAGAAATCCTTAGAATGATAGTTCCTAGAATGAAGTGAAGATTGATGCAAAAACAAGATGATGGCTTTATTTTAGGAAGTCTAAATCTGGTGCCCATGTACGAATTTCAAAAAGAACAGTCCACAGGTATCAGTGGGGTAGAACATTCATGCCTGTGTTTGACTGTGGATAAAACAGGCTTTAACCTTTCATATGTTGCTCTGACAATCAAATATCAATTAGTGACATGATGAAACTTTATAACTTAATATAAATTTAAAACCTGCTTTAAAGACTTAGGATAATTATTATTATTTTTGGCTAGTGTAAATCAAATAAAATATCAACTGCAGGCAAATTACTTTATATAGATGGTTAGATAGTCACTACTACTGGTAAATTTCCAAATGAAATTGAAAAAAAAGTACTACATGCAGGCACAAATGTAAGCCTTTTTATATGTACAATTATTTCTTCTCACAAGTCAGCCAATACAATTTAAAACTGTAAAACAGGTAAGTAAATTCACTTTATAAAAGGAGTGCTGGTTTTAAGGAAGAACTTGTCATCATTCTTCCTGAGTAGCAGACTGCCTCGTGAATTTCTATTTTTGTTTTACTACTTTTAGTTGGCATATATTAAATTATACATGTAAGGGATTTCATGTGACATTTTCTTATATGCATAAAATGTACTTTATTCATACATATTTAGCCCCTCTATTACTCTTCCTTATCTTTCACTTCTCCCACACTTCCCTAGTATTCCCCCTTTTATGGCCATATAACCCTAAATGTGCCCAATCTTGTCTGATCTCAGAAGCTAAGTAGGGTTATACCTGGTTAATACTTGGATGGGAGAGCTTGTTGAAATTGAAATGAAGCTACTCTTTCACTAAAGTCTAGAGCAGTGTGGGCACGGTTTCATTCCTTGCCCTGTGCTTTGTACATTGTCAATACTTACAACAGGGTGATGGCACAGGTGTAATTGCACTACTGGACTATGAGGATGATGCGGTTTTACCGAAACGAAATAATGTACCTAAATTTACCCTGAAGGAAGTGCAGAAATGTGGCCTTACCATACATGACTTTATAGAGTCTGTTTTTAACCACTATAATACACTGTTTGCCAAACTTTAATTCACAGACTTTTTTGGAGTTCTTTTTCTGTGAATAAAGAGAGGCACATCTTCACACAAAAGTCTACTAGGTGTATTCTGCATCACTAAATGTCACTGGTATAGGGACTTGGGGCAGCATTAGAAGATCTGAAATTTTAATTAAAAAATATTATCCCACCCAATTTTTAGATCCTGCTTCTTTGTCATGAATTCCTGGTTTAATTTATGATACAAGATTCAAGGTTCTTTCTAGCACATAAACAATTCCCTTGAAAGAATGCTTTTTAGCCAAGAAGCTCCACACATTTTAGGAGAAGAAATCTGGCTGAATTTATGTCTCAAACTCTCATTCTGTGCCAACCATTCTGTACTGCTGGAGCATTTATGAGCTGGTTCCCACAAGTGGTTTGTAATCTAAAAATGAATAAACACTGGGACACTCTCTTTTCTGCTTTAGTATTCTAGACAACATGTTCATATAGCCTGCTGTGTATAATATTTCAAACCTTTCATTACTGTTCATATAGCCAAAGGGAGAGGAATAAATCTTGGATAGGCAACATCTAGCAATGCAGGGAAGAAAATGGTGGCATGACTTGTGATTGGTAAGGAGAAGGAGGCTGTCTATCCTCTCCTCAGGCTCTCCAAGCCCATCTGAACAAAGAGTCAGGCTCTAGAGCAAGGAGACTGCAATTCAGTCTCAGATTCAGCCCTGAGTCACTAGGCAGACAGGCAGGGACTCTACTAGACAACAATTTCACAGGAACTTTCAAAACCAAGGTGATTAACCAACCTACTAACCATTCTTTCCAAGAATGGCTGGCCTTGGATCATTTCAGCACCTATCTGAACTGTTTATTTTTATTTTTACAGCTTTTTGTTTTGAAAATTCCCAGATTTAAACCCAATTCCTAAGCATGGACCAGTGTCACTCCACCCCATTTTAGAAACAACACCTTCTTGTCCAGCATAGGAGAGGACAGAATTCACATTCAGATGCCTTGGAAACAACATATTTCATGTATGTCTAGTGTTGTCACATATTTTGCTTTATTAATTCATTGCTAGGTCAAGCAAAGCAGATGATTGTTTTTCAAACAGATGACATGTGTTTTAAATGCATGATTAAAGCAGAATTTATCATGTCTGTCAGAATCTAGGGATCTGTAGTTTTCCTTTGTTAAACCATACTTTGGATACTTTGGCTTTTTAGTGAGAGGCAATGATTATGCAAACAGAAATCTCACACTAGTATTAGAAGAAAAATGATTTTTGTGTGAAGACACTAAAGTCAGTTTTAATTCATTAGAATTTTACTGCAATGTAACAATTCAAGCTGCTCTCTCATTTGGATGAGTTACTTATTCTCTCTAAGCTTCATTTTCCCCATTTAAAAAATGAAAATAGTACCAAGTTCATAGGATTCCTATAAGAATTGAATAAAATAGCATAAATAAAGCTCCAGGATTTGAACCACCACCACTGTTTAAGAGGCAATGGCTCTGTTCCATCTGGCAGAAGAGCAAGCTGAGTGATAGGAACCAGTAGGCATCCTATAGCAAAATACATTTCTCTTTGATGCCTTCTAATATGAACTCTTTGAGCAGGGATTTAATTTTTAGTCATAAACATTATTATCCCAGTTATTACAGAAGAGAAAATTGAGTCTTGGGGAAAGATAAAAATCTGTCTAAGGCTAAATGGCTAAAAAGAATCAGAGACAGAACTCAAACTCAACTCTAAATGATACTGACGACCATTCTTTATCCAATGTTGCCACAGTGCCTGAATACAGAGGGTGAGCATAACAGACAGCCAACAGTGGAAAGAAAAGTGGCATCTGACTATTGTGGATTA